GCCCGCCCGGGTCTCCCGCCGGGGCCGCCTCGGGTTCGCCCCGGGGCCTGTCCGCGGCCTCCCGCGGCGCTCAGCGCCTGTGCTCTGTGTTGCAGGTCTACCCGGAGCCCCGGAGCGAGGGCGAGTGCCTGAGCAACATCCGCGAGTTCCTGCGAGGCTGCGGGGCCTCCCTGCGCCTGGAGGTGAGGGCGCGGGCCCGCGGGCGGGGGGCGGGGCGCGGAGGCCAGCTCACCGGCCGCCCCGGGGGTGGGCCCGGTCCCAGGCTGCGAGGAGTCGCTGTGCGTGGCCCGGTTCTCGTCCCTCGCCGCGGTGAGGAAGGGTGGTTCCAGCAGCGCTTCGTGCAGGTGACCCCCGTTTTCCACATTCGTTTGCCAGGAGTGCGATCTGATTTCTTGGCACCTGCCTCAGCCTTCACTCTGCTTGTGGACATTCTTGGAGGACCCTCCTGCAGGACTGGGTCAGCCCCTCAGCAGGTGATCAGGCAAAGTCTGGCAGAAATAAAACGGGCCCCAAATCCTCCCAGCCTCTCTCCTTTCTCTGCTTTTTCTTCCTCGGGCCAGAAATTAGGTGGTTTTACTCTCACATTTGAGGTTTAGGTTAGACACAGACTAGTCTGTGTCTTGGGGAGCGTACTGGACTAGGGGTCTTTCCATATTGCTTACGGCGTTGTCATACAGTCTTTCAGTGGCAGCTCTCAGAAAATTTCTCTTTTTCATCTTATTTAACCATATGTGGTTTTTTTTAATCTTGGGGTAGTACTTTAGATGTAGAAAGCTGGCTGTTCTTTTACTTGGGAATTACAGGCTGATGTGGTTGCGGTCAGTTCTGTTTAAATCTTGCCTCTTCCGCTTACTACTTTACCACCCGTAGCCTTTGTTTCTTTATCTGAGAACTGAGACTAGTTATTCCAAGCTGCTAGATAACAGTATGTGAAAGCAGCTTCGACAGAACCTGTTGCGTGAGATGATCCCATAAAGGTTTCCCATCCCAAAAGGGCAGTCTCTTAGCCTAGGTTTCTTGGGAAAAAATTTAGAAGTCATCAAATCTATGAGGGAAGGTTGTATGGAAAGCTTATCTGTTACTTGAAATTAGATATGTAGGAATTGATAGGCATGAAAGCACTGTTTCTATGAAGGATTGTAAACACGAAAATGTGTTATTGTTGGTAATATTTAGTGTCTGTGAGGAAACCATGTGCAGATAAGTGAAAATGCTGAGTGGAGAGTCCAGAGACCTGGGGCTGTTTAGGAGGGGGGACCTTGTTTCAGAAAGGCCTGTTCCTCTGCTGGGTGCGCTTTGTCGTTTTGTTGTTGCACTTCCACGTTGGGTTGTGATAATGTGCTTTGCTTGCCACAATTTTTGCTTTTTCTTGACCTTTGTTGTGGGATTTTATCATCCTCTTCAAACTGTTGAGTTTTGTTTATCTTTATAGTAAATTTGAAACTCAGCTTGCGCATTAAGGTTGTAATCTGACAACTTCAGCATGAGACTTTTTAAGAAAGTATTATTTTAAAGAAAGTTGAGTGTTAAAACCCCTTATCCTTAGTTTTCCAAAGGTTGCTGTTGAAGTTTCATATAGCAACTATTTTTTATAATTAAGAGTTTCTTTAAAGATGCTCTGGAAGAGAGTTTGTTTACTAACATCGCAAGCATCTAGGCACATAGTACAAGGCCTACTATGTAATTGATTGAGGTTGAAGTTGTGGTTAGTAGCGAATAAGTTTCCTTTTAAATTAAAAAAATGACATTTTGTGCTATTTTTAAAAGAGTACATATGTTTTCCAGTAAATGTAAAATGGAGATGAATTTTGTTAGCATTCTTTTAAGCTCAGTTGTAAGTCACACTTAAAACTCCTAATTACCTAAGAGATAATTAAGAAAAAGAAAATAGAGCATCAGACACCTCAAATTGGGGGCCAGCCCGGGGGTCTAGTGGTTAAGTTCAGCATGCTCTGCTTTGGCGGCCTGAGTTTGCAGGTTTGGATCCTGGATCTACACCACTCGTCAGCCATGCTGTGGCAGCATCCCACTTACAAAATATAGGAAGATCGGCACAGATGTTAGCTCAGGGCCAATCTTCCTCGGCAAAAAAACAAAACAAAAAACCCCTCAGATTGTTCAGGCGTTCTGATTTTTAGGAAATTACCCTGAAGAAGGAGCTCTGTATGGTAAGGACCCTACGTAGGCTTCCAGACTTGTTCTAATCCATAGTGCAAAGGGACCTAGGCCTGTTCCCTGAAAGACAGCCTCACACGTGGACCACAGTGCAGCAGTTTCCCAGTGTTTTTAGAGAAAAACGTGTAGAAAGGGACTGATGAGGGGAGGGCCTTGTGCTTCTGAAATGCATTTCATTTTCACAAAAATCTGAAAGACAAACGTTTTGAAATTTCAAGGATGAAAGTTAAAAAACTGAAAACTGGTAGCTTGAATTGTAGGTTAGTTTTTGTTTTATAGTTACGTGTCAGGGTGCTTCTTTCCAGGGGTTCGTTTAGACTGTGTGTGTAACAGACTGTTTTTGGTATATGTATTTTCTTGTTCATCATTTTAAACTATCCTAAGATTTCTTAAAGGAAAAGAGGAACTGAACATCGTAATTACCATGTCAGTTATTTCAGTGCAGACACCTCTTAATTAGCTGTAGGAAATCAGGTGTTATCCCCGAATGAGTTGTTCTGATTATGAAAGAAATTTTCATTTTAAAGGAGTTTTGTACAGTTTGCATTTACTGTTAAACTTTGAGAAGCAATTCAGGTTTTAAGTTGGAAAACATTTTTAAATTTGGAAAATTAAAAACTTAAAAATTGGAGAACTGTGTGTAGGAAAGTAGCACATGTAACTTAGATGACCTTTTCATTTTTCTTATATTTTTCTTTGCTGCCCAGCATGCATCTTATTTGAACCTTTCTTTTGTTTCCTTAAATAGTATGGAGTTTGATAGGAATTTAGTGTTTTTCCCTTGTTCTTGATGATGTAATAAGGTAAGATCTTATGTGAGATGACCCTGTTTAGAACTATATTTGTTTAGGTAATTAAAGTTGGTACTTTTCTTGAGAAGTTAAATTTGCTGATAAAAGAAGCCAGGCACTGTGATTCTCTCTGACTACTCGTGAGAATATTATGTTTAGAAATCCTGGTTTGCCTGGTGTATGTAGCAGGTCAGACCTTGTCCTAGACACCTATGCAGCACTGGGGGAGAGAGAACCTTGCTCATGCTGACCAAGTCGTGTCTTTTATAGTTTTCCAGAGTCTCCATCTGTTCTCTGATTTCAGTTGTCAATTATCATGTCTTTTTATTTGTAACACTTTCTAAAGGACTTTCACATGTCTTATTTTGCTTTTCAAACAGTCTTTTGAGTTATCACAGCCCTTGACTTATGTAAGGAAACACAGCCCAACACTTTAGTTCTCAACATTAACCATGTGAACGTTAACACATGAACCACTGTTGGGGTTTTTTAGAAATGCTGATGCGTGGACCCATCGCCAGAGGTTGTAGGTTCAACAGGTCATGGGGAGCGGGGGTGGATGTGAGTCTCCACGCCTGAATTAAGCAGAAGAGCCGATGGGGCTGTGCAACCACATTGTGTAAGCGGAGAGTGGCTGAGCTGGGACAAGGATCTGGGGTTTGGAGTAAGTTAGGTGTGTTCTCACTGTGCTGTAGGTGGCATTGCTTCCTGACCCTGGAGAAGCGAGCAATGTCGGGTTCGGGACTACAACTCTACTCTATACTCTTCTATATTGTTAGGTAAATTGTCAGCAGCTGCAAACTGATGTTTGCATGACCATAGATAAGCCAGAATAGGCAGATTTATGTAAGGGAAATAATGCTGAAGCTATTTGTGCTTAAAACTGTGAAAGAAAACAATTCCCTTGACCATGAGGCTGTTTAGGCTGAAGTGTTCTGAGTTTACGCTCCAAGACTCTTTTGGTAGCACTTTAACTTTAGGGCTTGTTTTTGCTAGGACGAATGGTGGACTTGTTTGTGTCATAGATGTAAATCTTTGCTGACTTTGTTTTCTTATTTTTTTTTTTTTTTACCTATTTTTAACAAATGTGTATCTTTTTTTTTGGTGAGGGAGGTTCGCATCTGTTGCCAATCTTCCTCTTTTTTATGTTTGAGGAAGGTTAGCCCTGAGCTAACATCTGTGCCAGTCCTCCTCTGTTTTGTATGTGGGTCGCCGCCACAGCATGGCTGACAAGTGGTGCAGGTCTGCATCCAAGATCCAAACCCATGAACCCAGGCCGCGGAAGCGGAATGCGTCAGACCCAACCACTACGCCACAGGGCCGGCCCCAAATTTGTATCTTTTAGCTAAGAATCATTATTTTCTTAGAGCTCTCCACCTGTGTCACCATCAGTACCAATTGGCAGCTGCTCAGTGTAATTTTTCACAGAAAACCAAGTTTGTGTCACTTCCCAAGAATTGTGTGTGTGATGCCGAGCAGGCTTGTGATGTGGGTGCCGAGTGGTTAGTTAGGCGTGCTCTCGCAAGTGCAGTTTTCATCTTCAGCAAAAGTCTCCTGTCTTGGACTTCCACGTTCTTGCTCACCCACTGCTAGTGGCCCAGGAATATCAGTTTTCCGCTTCGGCGGGTAGGGGGCGATGTAGCACAGTGGCCCTGACCCAACCCCAGCTTTCTGTCCCACTCTGCCACTCGCTAGCTGTGCCATCTGCAAAAGGGGCATCATCTCTTTGTATTTGTTGGCAGGATTAAATGAGTTAATGTAGGGCACTTAGAACAGTGCCTCTCATGTTTTAGGTGCTAAATAGACAGTAGTTATTGTTATACTTTTCATCATTCTCTTTTTGTAGTTTGAACCACATTGCTGTGTACTTTTTTAAAATCTTTACCCACTAATCCATATACATTATACAAAATTCAGGAACTAGAGAAATGTAAGAAGAAAATGAAAAATTGTATAATGCTACATATAGAGATAACCACTGTTAAAATTAGTATATATTTCTTAGTCTTTTTCCCCTTTGCACATATGTAAAAATGCTTTTAAAATATTCCTGACATCGTAGTGTACGTGTTTTATAACATGCTTTAACTTGATGTAGTGTGACTATTGTCTCGTGTTAAATATTTGTGTACTTATTTTTAATGGCTGCCCCATAGTTTGAGGTGGCAGTCCGCATTTTTGGATGTACAGGTTGTTTCTAAGTTTTCACTGTTGTA